AGTAAAATATCTCATAGCCTTGTAAATGAAATAAGTAAATGATGACTTTATGACTGACATGATTAAACACAAAGCTACACTGAACTCCTCAGCACCGTTCAGCTGGCCTTCCCACTGTAACCCAGCAGCGCATTCACCCAGCTTTGTTTCGCTGCTGAACAGATTTCCATAATAAATGTTCCTGCGATGCTAATCCGAGGTTTCGGGGTGAGACAGTCATCACTGTGACCTACTAAAGCCGGAGCGGTGTTTCAGATGTTCCTGCAGGTGCTGCTGTGCAGCTCACACCGCTGGAGGAGCGAGCGAGCAGATTCAGCTCTGCTGTGTCGAAAGGGTAGAATCGCCAGAACGATTCTTTTCAGTGATCCGATTCGCTTCGTTCAGTGCACTAATCTGATTCGAATCTTCTGACTGATTCTGGCTGGTTCGTTCTGTTCCACATCCGGTCGGCGGGTTAGCATCAGCGCAGACGACTCCTTAATGTTTTTATTTTTGTAAATCATTTTATTTTGTCTTTCTAAATAATGAGGTTTCATTTCATCTCTAAAATTGTTCCTACGGTCTATCGAGTGTTGTTTATGATCAGTATAATCATGTCATTCAATAATAAACGGTAGCTGTCTGATTTATTTATTTGTTTGTTTGTTTGTTTGTTTATTTGTGTGATAACCCGCTTATAGGTAAACAAAGTCATTTTCAGAGGCTTTCCTGTTTATTTCTCTTTTATGCGTCCAAACCTGCCCAGGCCGCTTGCTTCTGTTATGCAAGCCAGCAAGCATGACTGCTAACAACGGTTTGCTCTGCAGGTTTGGAGCTTTAGAGGGGAATAAATCAGGTGTTATTGATAACATCTTCCATTAATTCTGCTCTTTTCTCTTTTTCTGATGATAATTTACATAAACATCAGTTATGAAACAGTGCGTTAGCTTTATGCTTCATAGCATGAGTGAGCTTCTTACATTAGTTAGCCAATGCTAGACTTTCGCTACCAATAAACAGACAGCTGCAGGTTTACTGAAATATAATAATAATTGTATTTATCAAATAAAACATTTGACATTTGTATCCAAAAACTGACAGTTGGCAAAAACGCTATATTGCTGTTACATGTTCTTTGTTCAGAATGGCCTGTATGGTTCATTTATGCCATTTTGAATGCGCCGAATATACAAATCCATAAAAATAAGGTTTTGTTTCATTATAAACGTTATAATATGTTATAATGGGGCTTTGTGCCAGACTGCTTCATAACCAGACGACTTTGTTAATACTAGAGCTGGAGAGCGAGACATAGCAGCCTATCACTACATATCAACACGCCAATATCCAATAATCTATCAATAATTTCAGTTATTATATAATTTGATGCTATTATTATAACAGGCACATGTATCAGTACTGTTACAAAGTGGGCGGAGCAACACTTTTAGAGACATCAAAAAGGGTTCTGCTATTGTTACGGTGCCAACCTTATCTACGATAGAAGAACCTTTTTGGTTCTATATAGAACTGTTTTTAAGAAGGTCCTATATAGAACCATAACGCATTCTCCATCAGTCTGAAGAACCATATCACCATGCAAAGAACCATTTAAGCATGAAATGGTTCTATATAGAAATCATGGTTTATGGTTTTACTACAGAACCGTCGTTTTAAGTGTGTACTGCAATAATAACAATAAAACAAAATCATATTTCTATATTATATTATTATAGCAGTAATCAGCCCAACAGCACGCATGTGTTTGTGTTCGCAAAACAGCCATATGTTTTTTCCAAACTTGGTTTCAGTTTACTTTGTGATTATAAGATTGAAAAAATCCTTAAAATCCCCTTAAAATGATCAAACTTTCATCAGCCGGTTTTATTGACTTGGTCCCTCATATATGAACATAACTTATCACCACATACATAGTTTATTTGGAATAATAAATATATTTATATAAAAATCAATCACTATTCTTCATAATATGGTTTGAACATGGTGTTTTGTTGGTTAGAGATTTATTTAATGAAAGATGATTTATTGCTTAGTTATGCAGATTATTTATCCAAGTATAAGATTCCTATAACTCCTGAAGAATATACAGTGGTTATGGATACAATTCCTTCTGGTATTATTAAAGAATCTTTAAAGAAGCAGTTAACGAGGAGCCCACGCTCCAGACAGTCCTGAATCCAAAACATACTTGTATTGGTCAGATATGTTTCTCCTCTACTTCCAGAAAAACAACAGGGATATTCGCAGACTGTTTCAAAGAGACGTCACTTCTGTTCCTTATGCAGTTACATGTTGGAATTCTCTTGTAAAAAATCCTGATTGGAAAATATTCGGACTTTACCTTCTAAATATCTGTTAACCAATAAAATAAAGGAAGTCTCTTACAAAATTAAACACAGATGCTGTCCAGGTAACCAGTTTCTTGCTAAATTTAATAAGGATATCAGTCTCAGCTGCTCTTTCTGTGATGAAAATCCAGAAACTCTTCTACGCCTGTTCTGGAGCTGATCCACACAAACAAGCTCTGGAAGGATGTATTCAAGTTTCAAGTTTCAAGTTTATTTGTCATTTGCACAGCATGTCAGCACATTTATGCATTGAAATGTTTGTGGAGAGGCTCAGATAATCACACTACAGAAAGTAAATAAGTAAAAATAAAAATACAAGAAAAACAAACTGAAATATATCAAATATACGCAAAATATAGAGACAATATACATTTTAAAGTGACTTAAGTGACTCAGTGTTATTGTTATTTAAAGTGACAGTGTTAAAGTGTTATTGTCCATATCAGAGATATGATATAATAATAATGCTGACAGAGTGACTGAGTGAGATGGTAGTTGGTGAAGGACCCACAGCTTCACAGCTTGTTCAGAAGCCTGACAGCCTGTGGGTAGAGCTGTTCATTAGCTGGGTTGTTCCAGCCTGGATGCTGCGGAATCTCCTGCCTGATGGCAGGATGGTGAACAGGCCGTGTGCTGGATGACGCTGTCTGACCGGATCTGTTTGATCTTCCTGAGGCAGCGGGACTGATAGACGTCCTGTAAGGCTGGTAGTCTGTTGCCTATGATGGCTTCTGCTGTCCTCACCACTCCTTTAAGGGCCTTACGGTCGCAGGCGGTGCAGCTGCTGTATGTAGGTTTATCATGGATTGTATTGACCCTGATTTTAACCTCTTTAATCTGGTTAATGTGTTGTTTGGCTTCAGTCATTATAAAAAGAATTTCATATTCATAAATGCAAATTTACTCACTCCGAACCGAAACAGAGGCTAAACAACACAACAATGCACCTTATTTAATTTGCTTTTGTAAAAAAAATCCCGTATTTTTGTCTTTCTTTCTTTTTTTTTGTTTAAACTTTGTTGTTACCACATCTTTAGTTTATGCAGTTTGTTATCTGACTTAACTGTATCTGTTCTGCTTTTGTACAAATGTAATTTTCTAATTAATAATAAAAAAAAGTGAGCCAATCAGCGCGGGCGGTGTATTTGCATAAGTGGGCGGGGCGAGCCGTTTCCTCCGAGCGAGTCGTTTGAATCGGCACCTTCCAAGGACTCGTTCAAAAACAAAAAACAAGGGATTCGCTCGTAGTGCACATCGCTTTAAAAGGCAGCGGAGGCGCAGGGTCTGCTGGGACGGTGGAGGACCGAGAGAAGGCTCGAAGCTACCGAGAAGATGGCCGCGGTTAGCGGGGATTTACAGGCCAGTTTGTGGTGAAAAAATGGCCAGAGACTGCTAGGCTGCTTGGGGCCACCCTGGGGTGATTTTTAGGGGCAGATATGGGCTCGCAAACCCTGCAGATCCTCAGACAGGGCGTCTGGGCTTCCATCACGGGAGGATGGTACTACGACCCCCATCAAAACACGTTTGTCAATGCACTGCACCTCTACATCTGGCTCTTTCTGCTCTGCTTCCCCTTCACCCTCTACATGGTGAGTGTGTTTCTGTCTCTACACTTCAGTGTGATTCCTACTGCATCTGGCTTTTTTCTCCCGTTATCTCATTCTGTTTCGAATTTTCCCGTTCCACCTTAAATGGTGCAGCAGTTACATTGTGGCGCCTCAGGCGCCACAATGTAACTGCTGCACCATTTAAGGTGGAACGGGAAAATTCCAGCGAGAAGCCACAGCTGGCCTCATTTTCACAGCCACATCCTTTGTTTATGTCTGTTCCGACACAAAGCAGCATCTGTGTTCACATCCCAGTCCTGTCTGTGAGGAATTAACATGCATTTCCTTTATGTTTACTAACTTATAGCCTCTGTTTATGGCAGGTATGCGGAGATAATGATAGCCTGAAGGCCTAGACAGTTCACCCAGATACAGAAATGACACAGGATTGTGTGCTAATGTGACCCAGACTGGCCTGCATTAGTCAAAGTGAATGCATCATCATCATTAACATCATCTTCATCAACGTCATCATTAATAAGAGCGATAAAAGTATGGCCAGCTATGATATTGCAAAGGCTTTCGCAGTTTGTTTACTAGTTAACCAGTTGGGCCACCCTTTCCGATCTTCTTTTTTTGCAAGGAAAACATTAGATTAGATCAACTTTATTGATCCACAATTGGAAAGTGTTGTTTCCGGAGGAGCGGCTGGTACGGAAAAGTGTGCGAGCAAGGCTGTAAACAACAATATAGCTGGACAGTGTGACTATATTTATCGTTATTGTGATAAATTACATCACAGTCTGCCTTTTTGAGCGTATCGTGGATATCATCAGCTCTTAAAAACACTTCCCGACTGCGCTTTTGATTAAAAAGAGAGTGTAATTAGTCCTATTTAGCTGGATTCCGTGCACCGCAGTGTGCGAAGTGTTGAATAATAATTGGAATTAAAAGTTTTTGATAGTATTTTTAAAATGTGGCACAACTCCCAGAAGGCAAGTTTATTTACATATCGCTTTGCGTACACTGTCATTCGCCGTGCTTTAGAAATGAGAAAATACAAAGATAATTTGAGTTAAAATTTACATAAAGTAAAGGAGAATGGAAATTAAAACGTGATTGAAACAGTAGATTTAAGAAAAGAGGAGATTAATCATTAATTTAAAAATGAAATGATGTGTTGTGATATTACATCTTGTCAAATCACCCAGTTCTGTATAACAGGGTCAGTTATTACAAACGTATGCCCGTCCCTTTGCTCCAGAATGTCTTGTCCAGATCTGATGACCTTTATTTTGATTTTGCATGCGCCGAATTGACCTTATCAGGCCAGCAAGAAAGAGCTGGCGTCTCCACATTAACCCTAGGAAGTCTAAAGTCAGTATCATTGTGCTGTTTATAAGACATAATTGCACAATTAACGTAGTTACGCACTGAAATGCATTCAGCTTCAGTATGCACTGGTTAATATTGTGAATATCCAAGTTTTTCTAAGTGCAGCCAAAAGCTGTGAAACTCCGTGATAATCGACTGTGCGCTAAAGCTGCGGCGGTCAGAGATTAGGTTGGAAAAAATCTGGACTATTCTTCTAATATGCTTTGAGCTGGTGACAGGCCGTGTATCAGGTAGCAGTGCATGACTTTTCCCCAGCCGCTCTTTGTCCCTTCGCTCCAATTCTGGAGCGGAAGCGCTCACAGCCTATTTTCAGCCAGCATCCAGCATCTTAATATGAATATAGCTCTGATGGCTAGATTTAGGTGTAGTGTGAAAGCCTGAGCCGCGCTCCGCTGGCCTATATTTACGCTGTACGTGGAAATACAAACCGCTGACGTAAATATCGTAGTGAGAGCGAACTCGCCGTGTTTGTTTGGTTTGTTCAGCTGGACTTAAAAAGCCACAGAAGTGTGTTTTAAATCCCTTGATCCAGAAAGTGATCAAATGGCCTACATGTGGCTTAACGTCTGTTTGATCCGACTGGAGTATTCCCTTGGCTGCCAGCGCAGCCTGTGTAAAAACAGCATAAAACACACTAAAGGAAACCTCCCTGGGTAATTAAAGGGGTAGACTGACACAAAATCAGAATTACCCATTTAATGCGGCTCTGTAATTACACAGTTAATTACATAGTTATATAGAGAATTACTTTTACGTTCTGTATGGATGGGTTTGAGTTTGGACATCTGACTTTTTTCATTTCTGAGTACAAATACCGTCAAGACCAAGACAAATTATTGACCCTGTTTACATCTGCTTGCTTCATGCGTCTGAATGAGGCCACATAAAAATGCAAGTGTAAACGCAGCCGAGGCGCATTTAGAACAGATACAGATCTGATCACTCGGACCAGTTCAGGAGGACTGAGACGCATTTGAGCTACGTTATAGCAGCGTAAACAAATCCGTCTCTCCAAGACGCATTCAACAACCGGAACTCCTCCCAGTACTGAAACCCCCCCTCCCAGTACAACCGAAACTCCTCCCGGTACATCAGAAACTCCTCCCGGTACATCAGAAACTCCTCCCAGTTCAACCAGAATGCCCCCCGGCACAACAGAAACTCCTCCCAGTAAGACAGAAACTCCTCCCACTGTGACAGAAACTCCTCCCACTATGATCGAAACCCCTCTCAGCATAACCAGAACTCCTCGCAGTACAACTGAAACTCCTCCCATTATGACGGAAACTCCTCCCACAACAAATGAACCCCTTTCCGTATACAACCAAAACTCCTCCTGATACAACCAAAACTCCTCCCAGTACAGCCGAAACCCCTCCCAGTAGGACAGAAACCCAGAACGCCTCCCACTACACCCAAAACCCCTCCCAGTACAACTGAAACTCCGACTAACCAGAGACGCGTTTGACTAACAAGTGTAAATACATGAAGCTAAAATCTTATCAGGATACAATCCAGATACCAGACATATGAAGTGACCAGGTGTAAATGGTCCAAACCCAAGTCCAAATACTATCGAGACCAAAACCAATACAGTACTATTAAATAAAAACGTCTCTAGTCTGTACTGCAGCGCTAGATAGCAGTACGTCATACAGTAAGTAGTGAACTCTGCACACCTAACATGTCTCGGCTGACCAGCTACATTTGGAGATCAATTAAAAATTGATTTTAAAGCAGAAACTATGAATCTGTGCTGTTATAATAATCTCTCTCTCCCTCTCTCTCTGTCTGTGTCTGTGTGTGTGTGTGTGTGTGTGTGTGTGTGTGTGTCTGTAGGCGCTTCCTCCCACCATGGTGATCGTGGGCATATACTGTGGTGTGATAGCCGCTATGTTTGTGCTGCTGAAAGCGGTGAACTATCGGCTACACACGGCGCTGGACGAGGGCGAGGTCATCGAGCTTCGGGCCAAAGGCGGGCAGGGCCGAGGGGCAGCGGGGGAACGGCAGAGAGACGCCCACCCACAGCAGGAGGACTCAAACGGACCTGGGTGAGCAGCACACTCACATTAGCGATGATGCTAACAGGCTCTCTGTGAACTCGCTAAACTGCACTCAGTCCTCATTGGATTGAACTGACCAGCTGAGCAGACAGCTAACAGGCTAACAGGCTAACCGGCTAACAGGCTCCAGTAATAGAGACAGGAGCTTAATTGACATCATAAGACTGGAAACCTCATTAATAGACCCCAAACAAACAAGTAGGCTTTGTCCAGCATCGTAGTTTAGAGACTTTCGGCTGCAGTTTGAGTGAAAAAAAGATTAAATAAAAGAATAAAAAGATTCTGTCCTGATCTGTTTAAACCCTACACACTAATAGAGATGGTAACAATCTACATATGTACAAAACCATCATTTATAGAGAACCCCTGCATCTTAGAGCAGGAAGTGAGGCTGCATCCCTGTCCCTCATGGCCACATGGCAGTTAGATCCCACTGTTTTGAAGTAAATGTGTCCCAAAGTCTGAAAATCAGTGTGGAACATTAAGAACCGTCATATTTTCTGCAGTTCAGCACTTTTTAGTGTTTTAATGTAAAATATGATGATTTTCTGTGTGAACAGCTGTTCAAAGCTGTGTTTGTTGGTCATGAACTGCTGAGTTTCTGAGCTCAAAATGAGCTAAAATTGTCAAAAAACAGTCACAACTGAAACATCTGGTTTGGGTAGTGATGTGACTGTTTTGGTAGTGACAAAATGGAATGTATAAATATTAGTTTTAACAATATAAACATCATTAAGATATTGGGTCACTGAAAGCAAAAGGACCTCGTGTGTGTATATATACTGTATGCACACCAATCAGGCATAACATTATGACCACCTCCTTGTTTCTACACTCATTGTCCATTTTATCAGCTCCACTTACTATATAGGTGCACTTTGTAGTTCTACAGTTACAGACTGTAGTCCATCTGTTTCTCTGATACTTTGTTAGCCCCCTTTTACCCTGTTCTTCAGTGGTCAGGACCCCCATGGACCCTCACAGAGCAGGTACTATTTGGGTGGAGGGTCATTCTCAGCACTGCAGTAACACTGAGGTGGTGGTGGTGTGTTAGTGTGTGTTGTGCTGGTCTGAGTGGATCAGACACAGCAGTGCTGCTGGAGTTTTTAAACACCTCAGTGTCACTGCTGGACTGAGAATAGTCCACCAACCAAAAATATCCAGACAACAGCGTCCTGTGGGCAGCGTCCTGTGACCACTGATGAAGGACTAGAGGATGACCAGCACAAACTGTGCAGCAGCAGATGAGCTATCGTCTCTGACTTTACATCTACAAGGTGGACTGACCAGGTAGGAGTGTCTAATAGAGTGGACAGCGAGTGGACACGGTGTTTAAAAACTCCAGCAGCACTGCTGTGTCTGATCCACTCTCACCAGCACAACACACACTAACACACCACCACCAGGTCAGTGTTACTGCAGTGCTGAGAATGACCCACCACCGAAATAGTACCTGCTCTGTGAGGGTCCATGGGGGTCCTGACCACTGAAGAACAGGGTAAAAGGGGGCTAACAAAGTATCAGAGAAACAGATGGACTACAGTCTGTAACTGTAGAACTACAAAGTGCACCTATATAGTAAGTGGAGCTGATAAAATGGACGATGAGTGTAGAAACAAGGAGGTGGTCAGAATGTTACGCCTGATCGGTGTATAGATAATGTGTAAACAGTCCACTGTGATTGTTCTCTGTGTTTGTTTAACCGTTTCCAAATCTCTCCTGGAGGAAGTCCAATGCCTACTTTATCTAATCAGTCCTTCATTAAATCAAATCAAGTGCTGATAGAATTAAAGGTTGCCGTTGTTATTCTGGCTTGTAGTTTGCTGTGTTAACTTTCATGTTTTTATTTTTTTAACACAACATTTCTAGGCCAGCTTTAGCTCTTCTATAGAGGTGATTTAGCTGTATCCAGTGCTAATGCTAACCCTCTGGGGTCCACAAACTCGCCTGTGCATCAAATTTCTCTGTCTCTATATCTGTATCTTTGTGATGATCCAGCTCAGAAATCCAGTTCAAACACTCCCTGAATCTGTAGAGTCGCCTTTCCATTCCATCTTATCTCGAGATCATACGAGACTCACATCCGGAGTTATGAGCCTATGAAGAGGGGCTGAGATACACGTCATCTGCCTCTCACCATGGGGAACTGGTGGATTGGTGTGTCTGTCTACATTCTGTGTGAAACTGACCAATGGACACTCAGGAAATCACTAAGGACTGACCATCACGCCGGAAACCCTTCATTCTTCATTCGGTCCACATCGGAGACTCATGTGAAACGGCGTGCAGAGAGTTTACAGCTGCTGAAGCTGCTGCAGCGGTTTTGGAAAGTAGTGATGAAGATAACGGAGCATTTAGATATGAAACATATGAGGATCATGATATATGAAGAGCCTTTAGAGGAGAGATTAAAGAACAAATCCAGAGAGAATGACCTCAGACCACAGAGGGATGAAGGGTTAAACTTCAGCTCTGATTGGACACGTTTGGAGTAAGGAGGGGAAAAGTTGTGTGAATTATATTTGTGGCTGAACTATCACTTTAATCCATTATGGAACGAGTGTATTTGATCTGCTGCGGTTGCGGAGGGTCGTGAGCAGAGTCTGGGGGGGTTGCTGGATTAGTGCTTTGGTAAATCCCTGGCAGGACAATGGCAGAGTCTCCATCAGCTGCATAAAACCCGTCACTAATGCTCTGAAACCTTTTTACTCTGATTCGTATTAAATCTAATTTGGAGCTTAAATGAATCTGTGACTGAGAGACAGCACTGATGATGCGGTTTAGTCTCAGACTAGACTTGATCTGATAAAAATCATGCCTTCTGTTATTTATGTGAGATATTGATAATTCTCTAAACCGCTGAAACGCCTTAATTCAGTCTTTGATGTTCTATCCTGTTATTTACTCCTGTGTGAAGAACACCTCGTTTTCTGGATGTTGATTTTGAATATTAATGACCACTGCTCTCATTGGCTGCCTCAGTGAAGGGGACTGGACAGGGGGCGTGGCTTTGCGTGGTGGTGGAGAGCAGTGCTGCCGGGTTTTCTAGAGTCGACTCCACTTAATTATAACCAATACAGCGCAAGAGCTGACGAGAAAGGGACACAGCAGAGATTAAAGGTGCGGTGTGTAAGATTTAGTGGCCTCTAGTGGTGAGGTTGCAGACTGCACCCAGCTGAATCCCCCATCCCTCCCTTTCCAAGCGTGTAGGCCCAGTCCAAAAACACCGGCAGCAACCACTGATTCTTCTTCTCTCTACGTCTTCTGACTGGAGCTACAGCGCCACCTAATTCAAGCTGCCGCTTCAGCATAAAAGTGTGAAAGGCGCCCTCTAGAGGCAGAGTGTGGTTTGTCTGCTCTGGGCTACTGTAGGAACACGGCAGCGCGGCATGGCGGCCTCTCCCTGTGTAGAGTCACTCCCTATGTATATCTGAAGGGCTCATTCTAACATAACGACAACACAGCGATTCAGTTACAGCTGATTATTCACTTTGTTTACTATATTCCATTTCTGATAATAGATCCCCTGAAATCTTACACACGGAACCTTTAAAGCTGGTCATTAAACAAACTCATGATATTCAGACTCATCCTGTTTCCTGCATTGTCCCTCGAGCTCTGTATAGCACCCAAATAGGTTCTTCTACTGTTACAAACTTGACACCGTAACCACAGAAGAATGCTTTTGGGTGCTGTATGGAACCATCTACAGGACATTCTCCATCAGTCTGAAGAACCCTTTTGTGATCCAAATAACCCTTTAATCATGCATTTTATGTAGAACCATTCTGGAAAGGGTTCTGTATAGCACCAAGGGTTCTGTTATTGTTACAATGTCAAGCTTGTGTACATTAGAAGAGCCCTTTTTGGTTATAGATATATTTATAGAACCATATACAGCACATTCTCCATCAATCGTGCAAAGAACCCTTTAATCATGCAGAGGGATCTTTTTGTTCTATATAGAACCATTTTCTTTACTAAAGAACCTCCTGAGGCTCCATGTTGTTTAAGAGTGTAGGTTTTGTTTATGTCTTGGCTCTGTTAAGGTAATGCTAATTTCTGCTAGCCAGACAATGGGGATTGGCCTCTTACATTAGCCTCAAGCTAACAGTGGTGAATTTGGCTTTTTTGTAGCTGCTCTTCAGATATTTAAGTAACACGTTCTTTAATGTGGATTTTAATGGTTTATTAGAGACGTTAAACTTTGAATGGGGTCAGTCTACAGTCAGTTTTTCCCCTTAACCCTCATGTAGCTGATCAGCCAAGACATGCGGTCCGAAGTTCTTTAGCTTTAGCGCTGTAGCTAACAAACACTGTAAGCTAATGTAGACCAGCTACCATACAAACGGCCTCAGAGTGTGGAGGTGTTCAGTAATCTGTAATAGACTTGATTATGTGGTTTCTGACAGTCATACAGTGCAGTGAACACTTAGTGTGAGTGCGGCCGCAGTTTCAGAAACGCTGGATAACGATCGGAAGGCCAGTGTTTGGACTGAAGTACATTAGCGTAGCTAAACACAGTAGCAGCACTTTAAACCTGATTTTTGTCCTGTTTCTTTAAACGGAAACAGCTTTAAAGTGTATTAGAGCTGGAAATGTGAGTCATTCCCACATTCCTGTGCTTTCTGGAATGCCAGTGGGCACGGGGATCCGGTCAGCGAGCAGTTTGGCCGAGAAGTAACAGCCCAAATACGCACACACATGGTGGCATTTTCCTGCTGGTTTGGGTGTGGATGTGGTGAAACGGCTGCAGCTGGGAGGAGATTTGTGCACCAGATTTCTGTGGAGCTTTTATATTTCTGCATGTGCTGCTCTCAGAGCTCAGGGTAGCGTCTGTCTGTCTGTCTGTCTGTCTGTCTGTCTGTCTGTCCATGTAAATAGATTTCAGTTAACTTGCATGGAAAACCAGCGTTCTTATATCTCTGTGGAGCTGCAGAGCTGTAGAACTTCGGATAAGGATTGTTAATCTATGTATGTCTGTCTGTCTGTCTAGCTGTCTCTGTCTGTCTATCTAGCTATCTATCAATTTATCTATCTATCTATCTATCTATCTATCTATCTAGCTGTGTGTGTCTGTCTGTCTGTCTGTCTCTCTATCTAGCTGTCTGTCTGTCTAACTATGTAGCTAAATAGTTATTAGTCTATCTATCTATCTATCTATCTATCTATCTATCTATCTGTCTGTGTTCAGTGGTGGTGGGGTGTTGACAGTAAGATAAATGGTGTCATTAACTACCCTCCCCTTACAGTAGCCCTGACACATGTTAGTGTAGTTGCTAGGTAACCATAACCCTTGGTGGGTGTGTGTGTGTGTGTGTGTGTGTGTGTGTGTGTGTGTGTGTGTGTGTGTGTGTGCGCGTGCTGCAGGGATCCCGGAGGGGGAATTGAGATGGCTGATTTTGTTCGAGAGGAAACTCCACCGGTCGACTGCAGCTCACGGAACTCCTACGCAGGGATGGACTCCAGCCACCAGGTGAGAGAGCGAGATATATATATATTAGAGAGAGAGAGAGTGGTAATTATTTTGAGGTTTAGATGTTGATGTGTGGATGAACAGTTGGGACAGTATGAGCGAATACAGTGCAGTTAAACTTTGTCTTTATTTTTCTCATGATGGAGCCGTGACCACGCTCTACTGAAGAACTAGAACAAGAGTCACTGGGTAAAACTACCCCCATCACGTTTTCTGATTTAGCCACATCAGCCTACAGCAGTTTAGGCCCACCCATTCAGCCTGCATCAGATTAGCACCGCCCATTCAGCCTATAGCAGTTTAGCCCTACCCATTCAGCCTATAGCAATTTAGCCCCGCCTATTCAGCCTACAGCAGTTTAGCCCCACCCATTCAGCCAACAGCACTATAGCCCATTTCTTTCGAAGCGATGTGCAGTGCTGTTCCTGTAGACAGTTTGTATCAGAGTTATTGGAGTGAATGTTGTGGGAAAACAGTTCATCGTCGTGCTGCTCCTGGCTGTCAGAAAGCAAATGGAGCACTGCAGCTTACAAAGGATCCATGCAGCAGCTGCGGGGGAGGGCGAGGCCTGAATCCCCAACACCACAGAGGAACGCGAGTGACGGAGGTAGGAGGACGTCAGCCACCAGAGAGGCGACAACGATGACGGCCACGAGAGGCGCAAAGGCGGGATGCGAGTCCTGAACTCCTCCGCCCAGGCCCCGCCTCCTGTACCGCAGCAAAGACGCCTGGGATGCGGAGGATCAGCTGGCTCTCATTAAGGGCAGCGTGAGCACCTGGGCTGAGAGACAAAGAGAGCTCATTGTTCCACCTCCCCGTCACCACCCCCGCTCCACATCCCGTCTGCCCAGGTCGAAAGTAAGGTGTAGTGAAGCGGCCTCGCTGCGGAACAGGATGTGGGGGTTCAGGACTCGCATTCTGCCTTCACCTCTCTGCCAGCTGAAGTCCTCCTCTCTTCATGATTCCCGTCCCTCAGTGGTGTTCGGGATTCGGGCCTCCGATGACTGTCGCGAGAACTGGCGGGAAGTGACCTGCAGTGACCTACTGACCTGCGGAGTTTGACTTCGTCACGCATTGTTAAAGTCACTCAAATGGTCTTTAGCCTGGAGGACACAGCGTCCATGATTTCCATAAAGAATTTCAAATGTTGATTCGTCGAGCCGCAGGACACTTTACCACTTTGCCTCAGTCCATTTTAAATGGGCTCAGGCCCAGAGAAGGTGGCAGCGTTTCTGGATCCTGTTTATATTGGTTTCTTCTTTGTGTTTTAGAGTTTTAACTTGCATTTGTGGATGCAGTGATGAACTGTTTTCATAGACAGTGGTTTTCAGAAGTGTTTCTGAGCCCATGCAGTGATTTCCACTACAGAATCATGTCTGTTTTTAATGCAGTGCTGCTGAGGGCCCAAAGATCACAGCCAGCAAATACTGGTTTTTGGCCTTGACCCTTACATACAGAGATTTCTCCAGATGCTCTTGTTACAGAGCAGTCCCTTCTCCTGTGGTTTATTCATGACATCACTAGCGATTAGTCGACGTCGACTCGACTTTCATCACATAAAAGTCTGAATCCGTGCAGCCCCTACGCTACAGTAAGCCATGATTATTTCACGCTGCGGTTCCGACAGTCACAGGCAGAATCGAAGTCTGTTCTCCTGGCTCTGACCACACAGCTCTCCTGCAGCTACACTGTTCCCTCTTTTTAATCTGGAGCTCAGTCCGGCAGCCTGTGCTTTTACTGAAGGTCGGTTTTAATAGCCCTGATCTCGGGAGTGCTGTGTTCTAGGCCACTGTAACCGCAGCCCTGAGTGTCCTGATCCCTCAGGAAGAGAACAGAACAGTTTAGCAATCAAATTAAACACACACACAGATCAGGTCCAGAATCACTTTATTGACCATCAAAAACGAAACTCCAGCCAAAACGAGAAATGTAACCTTACATCTGCTGTAAACATGCCTGCTGACCTGCTCCACTACAGAACACTGAACTGCTTTGGGGAGGATTGTGAGGACAGGCTGTGTATGTAATTTTAGTCTATATAATTTTAGATGTATACATACCTTTTTGTAAGAATTTTGTGATGTGTAATGATATGTTGTTGGAAGTGGGCTTTATACATACACATATTAAGAATGCTCTAGTATGATTAATACCACCTTTACTAGAGAAATGAAAATGTGGTTCTTTTTCATATGTTATTCAGTTACAGTTATTCGCTAGTTACTACAATTAATAACAGTTATTCTTTTTAAATGAAAACTTGTTAGAAATAGATACGCAGCGTTTTGAAAAGGAGCTCTATATGTCTATATATATATATATATGATATATATATAATATATATATATATATATATGTATGTCATAGTGTAGCTGACATGATCGTGTTAGTAGTATTGAATGTATGATGTGTACTTCAGATTGTCTGTGTAAATTTGTGGGCGGAGCTTCTGAGGCTGGGTGGGATGTTACTGTAAGGGGTGTAAACATGCTGTTGAGAGTAATGAGGCTGACCATGAAGTACATGCGTGACATCAGCAGCACTGATGGGAACTTTAATCATCGCTGTCTTCCATCTAAAGCTGACTCAGAGACGAGGCTGTCATGATCTCCCTCATTTTACCATCAGAAACCCACATTAACACTGGACTGGTCAGATTAAAGAACCACTGACTGACCTGAGAGTGCACTATTTTTACACATTATTTAGTGAGCTAGTATACAGTTTGGGACGGGGTGCTAGTAACACAGCGTAGTAACTAGTAACACTCTCTCTCTCTCTCTCTCTCTCTCTCTCTCTCTCTCTCTCTCTCTCTCACTGGTACAGATGGTGTCCTCTCGTGGGGGTCCAGCTGCAGCTAAAGGTGAGACTCTTTGCGCTCCTGAATAACTGGGATGTGTTCCTTTCAGAGTGACTGAGTGTTTTTTGGTTCTTATTGTCGCTCTGAGTCGCGCTGTGATGTCACAGCTCCTCTGTTTACTGTAACGTCTGACTGTTTTAACTGCCTCTCACATTTCCATCTGTCAGCTGAGCAGCAGTTATTACCCATTAATAACACTCTGCAGTCAGGCTTCTCTGATTAATAGAGCATCGTTGGCTGCAGAGCCTCAACGGCTGTCACACTCATGGTCACTCTGCACTTACAGATGACAAACTGATCAGACAAAGTGACTGATCAGTAAAAAATACAGTGTTGTTACTGTGAGAATTTTATTTTTACTGAACTGTCACTGTAACTGATGTGTCAGAGTGACTGAGTGATGCAGAGGAGCAGCTCTAAGTCCGTAGCTGACCATCCGAGCGCCGCGCTGACCGGCGCCGTCATAATTTATTTATTTATATTTTATAATTCTGATGAAGCGGTGTGTCAGCCTGTGTGTGGGTGGGCGTGCGAGGAAGAGAGAATAAATAAGTGATGAATTCTGACCTTCCTGCTCCTCTCTCTCCCTCCTCTCTCTCCCTCCTCTCTCTCTCTCTCTCTCTCTCTCTCTCCCTCCTCTCTCTCTCTCTCTCTCTCTCTCTCTCCTCCTCTCTCTCTCTCCTCCTCTCTCCCCTCTCTCTCCCTCTCTCTCCTCTCTCTCTCTCCCTCCTCTCTCTCTCTCTCTCCTCTCTCCCTCTCCCTCATCTCTCTCTCTCTTTTTTTTCTCTCTCTCTTTCTTCTCTCTCTCTCTCTCTCTCTCCCCCTCTCTCTGTCTCTCCCTTTCTCTCATCTCTCTCTCTCTGTTTCTCTCTTTTTCTTCTCTCTCTCCCTCTCTCTCTCTTTTTCTTCTCTCTCTCTCTCTCTTCTCTCTCTCTCGTTCCCTTTCTGTTTTTTTCTCCTCCCTCTCTCTCTCTCTCTCTCTCTCTCTTTTCTCTCTCTTCCTCTCGTCTCTCTCCCTCTCCCTCCTTCTCTCTCTCTCTCTCTCTCTCTCTGCAGGTGATGTTGGTAAGACCTCAGATGACCTCAGTCTGAGTCTGGCTCAGAGCTGCTGTAGTCAGGATCAGGGTGAGATTTATTATTCTGGTTTCTCTTTGTTAAAGCCTCCTCGATGCGGTGACACTTACTGGCTGCATTTAATTATTTATTTACTTTTTAATGCTTGTTTGTTTATTTTACTGCACCTGCACCACATTTTATCATCCTTCACTGAACACAGACCTGTCAGCTTCCTTAGCCCTCTGTACATTTACGCTTTTGTGTGCTATGAACTCCTCCGTCATGTTTATGAACAATATTTCAATCAAAAACAGGAACAAATCCAAATAAAAAGATAATGAGGTTGAGTGGTTAATCACATCATCCTTTCATTATGATTTATAGTACAGCGTTACATTGTAATCTTACAGCACTGCTAAACTCCAACAGCACTGCTGTGTCTGATCCACTCGTACCAGCGCAACACACACTAACACACCACCACCACGTCAGTGTTACTGCAGTGCTGAGAATGATCCACCACCCACATAGTACCTGCTCTGTGAGGGTCCATGGGGGTCCTGACCACTGAAGAACAGGGTAAAAGGGGGCTAACAAAGTATCAGAGAAACAGATGGACTACAGTCTGTAACTGTAGAACTACAAAGTGCACCTATATAGTAAGTGGAGCTGATAAAATGGACAATGAGTGTAGAAACGATAATGTTAAGCCTGATTGGTGTATTTTGTACTTTAGACAGGTTAATTGTTACTCTTAAGCCATTTATTTGTTGTGCGTATCGATCCAAACTGCTCTGAAGGTCCAACAGTAAAAGAAGCCTCGTGCATCTTTTACACAGTGATAGGAAACACAGTCGCTCACAGAAAGCTCATTTTTTGATATTTTTCTGAATAATATTTTGACCCTCTGTATTTTGACGCAGTACAGTCCAGCTCTCTTTGAAAAAAGTTTGCACACCCCTGCTGTACTGACGAATAATGGAGTGACTATATGTCACTCAGTGCTTAAGAAGATTTTCAACCTGGTACTTTTATATTTTTACTCAAGTTGGTTTTTGGGAAGATACTTTTACTTGTGTAATTATTTTGTGCAGATATCAATACTTTTACTTGAGCATTGATTTAGGCTTTTCTATCCACCCCTATCAGAAACTAAGCATCTCTAGGGAATTATTTTAAGATGGGAATAACTTGTTAGTAACATTATTATGTTATTTTATTTTCACAAATAGCTGCAGTGGGTTGTTGAGATCTTTTAAAATGAACAATGATTTGTTTCTGGTGCCCGCTTCTATGAAAATGAACCACAAATCATTAAGATTAAGAGACCCTTATTAGTCCCACAACGGGGACATTTCACCTCCACATTTAACCCACCTGTGCAGTGAAACACCAAACACACTAGTGAACACACACACTAGGGGGCAGTGAGCACACTTGCAGCCCTATCCACGGCGCCCGGGGAGCAGTTGGGGGTTAGGTGTTTTGCTCAAGGGCACTTCAGTCACGTACTGTCGGCTGAGGGGACCGGCGACCTTCTGGTCACAAGGCTGGTTCCCTAACCTCCAGCCCATGACCGCCCCATCATAATGAAAGGATCACATTATTAATCAGTTAATCTCACTTTAACTTTTTTTGTTTTTATTCCTGTATTCTTTTTGTTTTTGTTCTCCGTTCACTGTTTCTAATGAGCACTTTGTATTGTTTCCTCTTAATCAGACATGATGTCGGACCCAAAGATGTACTGCCTGGTCTCCAACGGCTCCTTCGCGTCCATGCAGCCCTCCACCTCGTTGGCTCAAGACCTTTACAGCTCCACCCCCCACCCTTTCAGCCAATCGCTATCCTCCTGCGACACAGAGATCACTGCCCACATCCCTGCCCACTCCCAGTCCTTCCGGAAGGATCCGTCTCGTCCTCGCGGGCTCCCACGCACCTCCAGCTCTGCCGGCTCTGCCTTTCCCGACTCTTCAGTGCCCGAATTCAGCCTCTACCCACCTCCACGGAGGGGCGCACTGGACCCCGTGTGCGAACTGGACACCTCCAGGCCACAGAGGGCACTAGAGGGCAAGGAGCAGCAGCAGGACTCGGCCGTGCCGTCTACGTCAGGGACGGAGTGCTACAGGCAGCACAAACGAGAGCGGCGAAGATTGGCGCGGTCCGTTTCCAGAGAGGCGGGGGAGGGGGAGTTTGAGGGAGAAAGCGGGACCGGACTGTACCAAGTTGAGAGTGTGCGTGGGGGGAGTTCAGGCGGAACCGCTGTAAGGGAGAAGGGTGGGGGGCTGAGCATGGACAGTCTGAGGAGCCTGAGCACACGGAGCAGCGGCTCGACGGAAAGCTACTGCAGTGGTACGGACCGAGACACCAACAGCACCCTGAGCAGCCTGCACAGCGAGCAGACCAGCTCCACCCACGTGGAGAGTCTCCTCTCGCTGTCTGGCGACGAAAGAGGGGCTTCGGGACCCAGCGACTCGCTGAGCGCCAGCCTAGCCTCGGGGGAGGCCAACAAAAACCCCCACGCCAACGAACTCAGCACCAAACCAGCCACCGACGACCCCTCGACCCCTGCGAACGCATCGCAGACCACCAGCCAGGATGGGGCGGAGCCTTGTGGTGGTGGGGGCGGGGCCAGGACTAGCGACCCCTCCCAGCCAGATGAGGCGGCAGAGAGAGACGACGTTAAGCCCAAGTCGGCCGATCCCGTGCAGCGGGCCACTTCGTCTGCATGCGCGGGTCGGAGTGGGCGGCGTCGGAACGGTGAGAATATTCCTGCTGACGTTATCGATCTTTCTTTTCTTTAGTCCGAGAGAAATCTCGCACGCTGCTCCTGTCCAAGGCCACTTTTCCACTGCATGGTACGACTCATCTTGGTACCAGCTACTTCATTTGCAGATATAGCGCCCCCTTGTGTAGCTGTACGTCATAGCGACCCTGCATGAAATGCCGTGATGTGAAGGAGACAAATGTTGTTCAGAAGAAGCAAAAGACCGCTGAAAAAAACAGGAGAGTTTGGGAAAAACTGCATCAGAGTTCAGACGACGAGACGATTCTGGTGCTCAAAGGCGACACAAGAGGCTATGCTACCCTGGTAGCTAACGTTAGCATATGTTTTTAGCGATTCCCTCCGACCAATCAGCTGTCTGTAGCATTTTTATGTCACCTTTTGGTTTCGGCTCAGCTGAACTTCAGTGGAGGTGCAACCAAAAAATAGTACCCAGTTGCAGATACAGGAATTGCCTAGTGGAGAACGGGTCGAGTCGAGCTGAGCCGGTACCATGCAGTGGGAAAGCGGGTTTAGTTGTGGATCTATGAGCCGTGAACCGATTACGCTAACAGGGATGTTTAAGGCCTTTGCTGGGGTTCTGTGGCTGTTCTTCATAGGAGCTTCAGGAAGCTCCTTTACCTTGACAGCTACCTGTTGCGTTAAATCTTCTCAAGCCAGTGGTAGACGTCGTTTATAACGACACCAGGTGTAATTTACATGAGAACATACTTATTAATATGTAGAACTTGACTTATTGACTTATTTTTCATTTATAATTTCTACTACATGTGTATTTTCATATAGTGTTTAACTTTATTCCCTATCAAGTTGTATTTTATGCATATCTTTATTTATGCATATCAGTATGTGCTATTTCTGTTCATATTATGATGTTAGAACATTGTGTGTACAGTTGAAGGGGATATATGCACTGGCAGAATATTAACTAAGGCTACGTTCACACAGCAGGTAAAAGTGGCCCAAATCTGATTTTTTTTGTTTGTCTGTTCAGATTATCTTTTAAATGTGATCTGTATCATCAGTCTGAACAGATCAGCTCCTAAACTGACCCACATGAACTAAAGAACAGAGCGTCACGCTGCTTCACGGCTCATCCAGAGGTAAACAATCACGACCGCCAACGAACGCCAGTCGCTCCCGGAGGATCAGCTTCATCTTCACCAGCATCACAGGAGCCATCATGAAGCTTCACTGACTGACAGCTGGGCTCATCACCCAGAATGTGTTCGAGCCGTAAAAAGGGCGCGGTCACTTCTTTGGTTCGCGTCCTCGGATTCTTTAAACTCTGCTTTCAGACTTTTAACTGTTCTATACGCTGCAGCCTCGTTCTCCTGCGGCCGCGTTCGGACATTTCTTTAGAAATCTCTCTGAACACGGAGGGTTTTGGACGAGTCTCTAATTTTTTTTGTACAGACACATCAGCCCAAATGTTTGAGTCTCAGCAGCGTGAAATTATGATGAATCTTGAGTTGGACTGATGTAAAAGTCGCATGACGATCTGGCTGTTCAGACTGAGTCGCATTGCTGCAGATCGGATACGTATCGGATTTCAGTACCACATATGAAAGCGTCTCAAACCGGAATTGAAAGTGTCAGATTCAGTGTTTATCTGTTCACACTGACACACATCTGTGTCACACATGTGACTTATACCTGCTGTGTGAACAAAGCCTTACAAACACACTTGTTCAGATATTGATAATATTTATTAATCACAAGTTTTTTTTTAAACATCATTCTGTTTTTTTGAATATGTTGATTGTTTTCGTATTCAGGACATAATTATCAATAATTCTCGGTATAGAATGGAAAATAGAAATTAAAAACAGTTGTGATAATTTTTTTGGCCTTAGGTAAGTACAGCTTTAAAAACAGCTATTTTATTGTGGGCAAAAAATAAAAATGAATATTATTATGAGCCGTTACAACCAATTCTAACATTCAAACTTGATGCATTTGAATTTGCACCATCATTTTTTAATAATTATCGGTAGGTGTGGGCAGCAAATGATATGTATCATGATGCGATTTGTTTTGGACCATATCGCCCAGCACTAGGTAAGCAGACAAGTAGCTTTGAATTTACCTCCAAATTTTGTTTTGGCCAAAAAAATGCATATTTCATTATTATAATTGATGATCACTTTAATTTTAATGTTAAACTGCCCCCTTAAAGGGCCCATATTCTATATTTTTCTTGCATTTTATTTTTTCCCCTCAGAACCATTTATAATGCTTGTGTGGCCATAACAGTAATAATTCATTTTTACTTGACCTTGATATATGTAGATGAGCTCTGTTCTGATTGGCTGCCCTGTGTTAGGCCTCATTCAAAAAGCAGCCGCCCCTTATAACTTCCCCTTATAGCTTCAGTGTGAGTGGGTGGAACTAAACTGTTGCAGGCTGAGTAGGTGAATGTATGTAAATGTGTTGGTTTTTGTGACATCACAAAAACCTAAATTCAAAACGGGCTGTTTTGCTGCTCGTTTCGATATATGGACTGTATGAACTAGAAGTTATAACAATGCTAACTTGCTACATCAAGCTGGTTTATTATTTTACATAATTATCTGATGGGGTCATTTAATAATTAGCGATATCGAATGATACAGAAAAGCATATTGTAATACCTTTTTTTTCCTCGTATCGCGCAGCTCTAGGTAAGAAGCGTGCGAACAGCTTCGACGCCAGCCGTCACCGGGACTATATGAGCCTGCGGGGGTTAGCGAAGCCTCGCTCGGCCGTTTTCGCCAAAGGAGAGGAGGACTCCAGTGACCAGAGCGAACTTAGCCACGCCTCCAGCCTCCATTCTGCCCACCAGCTAAGCACAGACTCCTCCTCCAGCACATCACGCTCATGCCACTCCCCCTCCGACGCCCACTACAGCGCCGTCCATGCCAAAGCGCACGGCGCGCGGGCGCACGGCGGCGAGAAAGCGAAGGAGCGGGATAAGGAGAGGGGAAAAAGGCG